ACACACTCCAGGGATGAGGAACCGTGGCTGAAGCTGTCCAATCGGCCTCTCTATGCCCCTAGCCCAGTGGACACCTGCCGCTACTGCTGGGTCCTAAAAGGATGGCCGGTGTCATTAAGTAGTATAGACTTCTTGTAAAAGGAGACTTCCAAGCAAGTCTAGTGTAATCATAGTTTTCTAAGTTACCTAATTATGTTAATATTACATAGACCTGAGTTTGAGCTCAGGTCCGCATTTCATCCTTAAAATGGAGAGAAGACACTTCTTACATCAAGAACATTTCTGCAATATGCTTTTAAATTTTTTCAAGCTTGTCGTAATCCTTTTTTTTAATCCTTGCCCATTTTTTGTTTAGGTAGAGTGGGAGGGAGAGAGAGAGAGAGAAACATCGACGTGAAAGGGACACATCTAGTGGCTGCCACCCGCACGACCAACCAGGGCCAGGGATGAACTACAACTAAGGTACGCGCCCTTAGCAGGAACCGAACCCTGGTGTGTAGGGACCATAGGCAGAGCTGAGCCAAACAGGCCTGGGCTCGTGGTAATCCATTTAAAGAAAACTCACTATGTATCAAAACTGTGAAACTCCCTCTTTGGGAAAGCAAATATTTCAACAGATTCTACTACACAGGGATTAAAATACAAGGGGGTGGAGGGGAGCTGTTATCTAATTGCTTAATAGCTAGACATGGGGTTCTCCTGGACTTGCACCCTCCAATGGGTAACAGGAGCAATTGCTCAGGGAGTGCCCTCTTTCTTAGGGCTTTCACTTATTTTTTTCTGTAAAAAGTTAAATGCAAAAGGTCAAATCTCATTATGCTTCCCTAAGTGAGAAAACATAATTATTATCCAATAAATTATAGTCCAATTGGTCCCACCCCATCCATATTAAAATTATATCTGATGAGCTTCCAAAAAGGCCCTACCCCAGAGCTCCTAATTTAAATGAGATAGAGTAGCCTGGCCAGTGTGGGTCAGTGGATTGAGTGTCATTGTCCCATGGACTGAGATGTCCCAGTTTGATTCCCAGTCGGCACATGCTTGGTTTCAGCCTCCATCCCCAGTTGGGGTGTGCAGGAAGCAGCCAATGGATGCTTCTCTCTCACATCAGTGATTCTCTGTTTCTATCTCTCTCTCCCTCTCTCTTTTTAAAAAAAATAAAAAAAATAAAAACATATTAAAAAATAAATGAGATAGGGTAAAGGAATGGGCATTTTAAAAGCTTTCTGTGTGTTTCTATGCTGCTAAAGTTTATATTGAGAGGTGTGGGAGGGGAGGGAAGAGAGGTGGTCATGGGTTTTGTTTATCACTACCAAAATATTGAGAATTCTTTCCTTTTAAAAAGTTATTCAGCCCTGGCAGGTTTGGCTCAGCAGTAAGAGCATCAACCCATGGATCAATGAGTCGGGGGTTCGTCCCCAGCCCTGGTCGGGTCATGCAGGAGGCAACCAGCTGATATATCTCTATCACATCAATGTTTCTCTGTCTCTCCCTCTCTCCCCCTCTAATGATAATAGAAAAATATTCTCACGTGAGGAATAAAAATGAAAAAAAATGTTATTCAACCCTGTTACAAAATACTTTATCTATGAATAAGAATGTCATAGTAGGCTCAGCCTTTATAAGCATATTTATTAAATATTTGTTGTGGACTAAATATTTGCAAGGGACAAAGCATGAATCAGAGCCCTTGCCCTCAGTGAGCTCACGATTGAGAGCTACAGAATCACTACAGTATAAAATTATAACTTTAGTCTGGCCGGTGTGGCTCAGTGGTTGAGCATTGACCCATGCACCAAGAGGTCATTGGTTCAATTCCCAGTCAGGACACATGCCCAGGTTATGGGCTGAACCCTGTCGGGGGGAATGCAAGAGGCAGCCAGTCTATGTTCTCTCTCATTAATCTCTCTCTCTTCCTTTCCCTTCCTCTCTCTCTAAAATCAACAAAGAAAAAAAATTTTTTAAAATTATAACTTTAAATCTGTGAACCATAGACCCAAAATGGCATCACTTGTGCTAAGAGCTCATGATACCAAACCTAGATTTAATAATATCTCATCAAATTGCAGTTTCAACCTTTCCCAAAAACAACCTTGAATTTTCTGGCCAACACCAACGAAGGAATCTGTCACGTGGGCCCTCTCCACCACCAACCCCTCTCAGAAAGAAGAGACAATTTGCATGATTTAAAAAAACCTTCCCATTCTCTTCCCACCCAAAAGGATGTTCCTGCCCCAAAATAATCCTTTCTGTTCTTTCATTAGTAGCTCCCTTGTCCCACCTTCTTCCTATAAAAACTTCCATTTTATAAACTCAGTGGGCCTTTCTAGTTGCTAGACGGGATGCTACCGAATTCATGAATGGCTTAATAAAGTCAATTATGTCTTCAACTTACTCTGTTGAATTTTGTTTTGTTTTTTTTTTACACTACAAATAGGTTATGGCAGACCTGATAACCACAACAGCCAATAATTTTTGCTTATACACTGCTCTAAGGCTTTAATGAAACACCTTCACTGATTTTGTTTAAAGTGTTATTTCATTTGAAAAACCATAACCTGGGTTTCCAAAAACAATGATAAATTGCTAGATGAGTGACATATAGGATTTTTAAAGTTTCTCTTTAGCATTTTACTGCATGTAACCCTACCAGTGTGTCTTCATCCTTAGTTATGGGAGGATTAGGATTGCTATGACAGGAAGGCAAAAGAGTAAAAATAAGAATATTCAGTTTTTGATGTAGAGAATCACATTTGTGAATGCACAGCAGGACCTACCAAGAGTTAGGCCTGGCTAATTTGATCACAAAGGCAGTTACTGAAAGCAAGAGACAGAATTCAGGGTTTGAAGAAAGGGAGTGTCTAAGAAACATCCAAACCTGTAAAGAATTTTTTATGAGTTTAAGACAAACTGATGACAATTGCCAAGAAGCAAAATCTCTGAACAGATTGAGAAAATGCTCTGGAAAATGGCAGTCTTATCATTTATTTTATATATCAGAATAAAAGGAGAAGATGTAAGGGGGTTACATGAAATCTGTTGGTAATTAGGGAGGTGACAGAATGCAAAGCAGGGAAATTTCTGAGATTGGATAAAAAGTAAAACAGAGACTCAACTACTTCTTTTTACATTGGTGGGTACAAGATAGTTAACCTTTACAGCACCTAGAGATAGTATGCAGGGGACCAAAATAACAATGAGGGGTTCAGGGATCTCAAATTCTGGTGGGAGATTATGCCCCAAGGGGTCTGGAAAAAGGGGACTACTCTGACATAACAAAGGTATGTTATCATAGATGCAAAAAGACAATAGGACTAGGACATGACTACCTTCCATGACTCCCTTTTAATTAGGAACTTTTAATTTCAGACAATCCTACCTGGCTACTTTAGGTATCTAAGATTGTAAGGCCTGCCATGCAGGCCTCCCCTGAGGCTTCTCAGGTTTAGTATGTGGCTCCTTTTTCCTCCTCAGGAGACACCAGGAAAGTGAGGAAAGTTAACCCTTTCATTGAACTATGGGTAGCCTGGGGTAATGCTAAGGTCCTCATTCTATCCTCCCATTCTTCTTTGTGTGGATGAATTACCCTAATAGATATGAAACTGTTCAGAGTCCTCTACAAGGGTCAATAACTCTGAGCCACCATCACCACCCCCACTACCCTACTCCACTCCCTGCTGCTGAGGGGAGTATTTCTGGTGTATTTGCACCTAATTTGCTAGTATTGAAGACCTGAAATGAGTCATCCAGGCTAGATATAAAATCCCCACCCATGTCTTTATGATCTGTCCCCCAGATCTGATCATAGTTTTAGGTTTCTTTGACAACCAATCACCCATCAATATGCTGCTCTCTGGAGATCTCTCATCCTCACATTTCCTGACAAAGACAAGGGTATCCCATTGTAGCCAAATCCATGGATGCTGACAGAAATCTTCAAGTGAGAGCAGACCCATAAGGGAAAAACAAAATTTGTAATTCCATAGGGAGTGTGAACAACCCTTGGACAATCTACACCATTCTTTTATTTTTGTCCAGAACTTCCAACCCCAGAAACCCCACAGCAATGCACATACAGACTATTTGGTGCCACTAACAAAGCATTTCTGGGGATTTTACTTTGTATGGGCCTCAGCATTCAATACCTCGCTTACTAGAAACAATGGTTGTCTCATTGCTCTTTCTCCCTTATGAACCAGATTTGATAGGCCATTGAACCAACCAGAGGGGATTTTAAATCCAAATTATTTTCAGCTGTTTTATTATTTTTAAAATTTTTTCAAGTAATTTTATTTTTTTCCCCAATTTTTATTAATTTATTTTTGTTACAGATGTTTATCCTTCCCCCCCCCCAGACACCCTCCTCCCCATCCCGCCCCCCAACCCTTCAGCTCTGTTTTAAAGACTTAAGCAAAACATGCTTTGCTTCCCACAATCTCTTTCTCTCCGATTGCCCTCCCTGTTCATGGGACCAAATGTTTGGAAAACGAATAAAGGTGTCTGCCCATCCAGTCAACTTAACTACCTGCATTATATACCTGGCTAAGACTCAGATCCAGAGGACGCTCTCACGTTACCAGTTCTAATCGCGTCAGAGGGGCACGTGGTTCTAGACATTTCGCCACCTCCCCCTCAGGGGTGGATTGTTGACAACGCCGCCGGTAGTCACGTGACCTTGCGTCATCCCACCTCCTTTGAAATCTCTAGGTCCGGCTTTAGTCCCTCTCTCCACTCGGTCGGACCTAATCTAGTGGAAGGGGGAGCAACAGGATACAGTTTCAGTTTTGGTGTCTTGACCCACAATATCTAGTCTGAACACAGAAAATACTAGTTTTTCAATTAGTTCAGGAGGCCGAAATAGATTAGGCCTTGCAAAAAGGGTCCCACAGAAGCCCTCCTACGTCCCCTCCCACTGTCCTCCACCCCTCACTCTGTGGTTCCGGCGGAGGGCGGAGGGATCTGGAGGCGGCGGAGGGAGACGTCATTGCAGGGTTGTTTGTGCAGCCTCGGTGGCAGTGACCCGCAGTGATTCGGCCGCCGCGCCGGGGGGTGGGGGGGGCCGCGCGGGACTCTTTTCTTTCACAAGGACCGCGGGGCAGCTGTGGAGCATGTCGACCCCCGCCCGGAGGAGGCTCATGCGGGATTTCAAGCGGTAAGGCCCTTCACCTTCCCCGGACGACGGCTCCTCCCCAAAGCTGCGGGCCTGCAGGGCGGGGGTCCGGGACACCTTCCTCTCGGGATCCTGCGAGGGCCGGCTGCGGGCCCGCGGGAGCGACGGAAGGCCAGCTCTAACCCCCGTTCGCGCTCCCTCACTCTTGTTTCCTCACTCCGACGTAAGAAACTGCGATCTCTCTCCCCCTCAAAAGTGAAAAAATGGCTGTAGGCTTCTAGGATTCCCCGCCGCCCGCTTGGGCCAGCCGCCTGACGTGTCGTCCTACCGTTCAGACCGTACCCACCAGCGCCCCCGTCCCTGCGCGCCCCTCCCGAAGTCCCCAAAGCGAGCCCTTGCCGGAGCGCTTTCCTCGCCGCCTTCGCCAGACGGCGTTGTGCCCTGGCCCTCTCCTCGGGGGCGCAGGGCTGAGGCGAAAGCACAGCCCGTTCCTGCGGTGGGGTGGGGTCTGCCGCGCGCGCTCGGGGTGGCGACCCATCCCCCGACACCGACTCCCCGCCCGCCGGCCGGCCAGGACCTTGAGAACTGGCCGGAGGACCGACTCCCTGGCAGCGCGGGCTGCCAGCGCCTCCCGGCCCTGCCCCTGGCCCGCTGTACGGAGCCCTGTCTAGAGCCTTCGGAGTCCGGAAAAGGGCTTCCCCGAGCCTGGCGCTAACCCGATCCTCCCTGGGCCTCCTTTTGTAAAGCAGGGTTTTGTTAGGAGGGGTGGGGGTTGGTGAGGAGGAAGTGACTCTTTTTTTCAATTGTTTACCTTTTATTTGGAGGAACGGGAAAAAGGTAACAGAAAACAGTATTGTGAGCCTCTGCACATTTTCCCACTGTTTTTCTGAGGAGACCTGCCCAGGTTGAGGCAAAATATTTCGTACGAAAACTTAGATTAGCCGCTCAGGAAGTAACCTCTCCACTTCGCCATTGTAGAGTCGTAGGTGCGACCTTTGGACGCCATGGTTTTGAGCTTTGGCACATTTACTACTGAATATATTGGTGACTTCTCAGCCGGCCACCTTTGCTGGGCTTCAAGCAGCGTAATTCCTGTAAGGCTTCTGTTCATGGCCCAGTCTTCTTGCTGTTGACGAAAAAGAACCGTTTATATGTGTGCTCATTTAAAAGTATCATACCACCTGACAATCACTGCATAGAGAGAGAAAGTAGTGTTTATTTTTTTACTGAGTCTTTAAAAGGAGATGCCTATTTCATGTAAAAGTCGTCTTCTAAAGGTTGAAATCGGTAGATTTCAAATTAGCTGAAATTCAGATGAGCAAAATTCAAATAAAGCTTACCGTTTTGTCACTCTGATTTCTTGCAGCGATTCTCTGCTTTATTCTGAATTGAACACATGGTACCTTTGGTAGTTTTCCAACAGTCTTCAGGTTACAAGGATTTGACTGACAGATGTTGAGAAGATAGCTTTGTATTGAGTCTCCTGTTCTGAGCCATTAAAATAGGGACTGTAGGAAAACCTAACTGAATCTTTGATTACTTTAAAACCCATTGCTGCCCTGGCCGGTTTGGCTCAGCGGTTAGAGCATCGGCCTGCGGTCTTGGTTCCCGCTAAGGGCATGTACCTCGGTTGCAGTTTGTCCCTGACCCTGTCGGTCGTGCAGGTGGCAGCCACTCGATGTGTCCCTTCACATCGATGTTTCTCTCTCTGTTCCTCTCTCTCCCTCCCGCTCTACCTGAACAAAAAAAATGGAAAAATGTCCTCGGGTGAGGATAAAAAACCAAAACCAAACCCATTGCTAATTAAAGCAAATGGGGTAAAGTAACTGTTCTGCCCAAAACTAGTTTCCTAATCATATTGAATGAAGTGTTTTCAGTCCTGTAGTGTTACACTGAGGATTCTTTTTGTTTTGGGGGGAGGAGGTTTGGTGGCCCTGTTGCACAACTAGCCTTGGTTAGGATTCAGTCTTTGCATTACAGCAGCAAAATTGATAGTTTTGTAAAAATATTTTTTGCACTTGAGGTTTTTATTTATTTTTGGTTGAGGGCAGCCTGTATACATTAGTTCTTGAAAGATAGCTTAATCTTGATGCTATTTGAAGAGGGATACTCCCAAGCCCTTTGGAATTTTAGATAATTGGAGAGGTTTATAATATATACTTAGCTGATTTTTTTATTTTTTATTTTTGGTTGTGTGGTTTATTTCCAGTTCAGCACAAGAACAAGGACATGGATTTAGTTTGTATCTCAAAGTAGATAGTATAGAGTCTGTGGGTATTCTATTTGACCTTTATGGTCGCCCAAATGTACAATTTTTAAAATTACTACTATGGATTTCTAGATTGCAAGAGGACCCACCTGTGGGTGTCAGTGGTGCACCATCTGAAAACAACATCATGCAGTGGAATGCAGTTATATTTGGGTGAGTTGAAATACAAAACAACTTGATAGGTAAACGTGCAACTAGGAAAAGAGGCTGAGGTGGAATGGGGACCTTAGAGAAACTGCAAGGTAAATTAGAAAATATCCCCATAAAAGTTCTAGCAGTTACAAAAAATTTATTTGATTTTACAATAACTTTGGATTTTACTTGATAAAATTACCATTTTAAAACTAAAGGAGAAGAGATAAGTTATTGTACAAAATGTTCCAAGCAAGTGTTTATGCTTATATTCTTTTGGAACTGTAAAAAGGCTAGAAACCAAAAATACCAAGAGCTTACACTATTGCAAGAATTTAAATGAGAAATGTTTCACAGCTCAACATGAAATAGAGGCACACCAGAGAGATACAGTGGGTTTGGTTTCAGATCACCACAGAAAGGCAAATTTGGGGGGCGGGGGGGCTGGTGGAGAGCTTTACTTTCAATTAATAAAAAGGTAACATCTGTGAAGCACAATGAAGTGAACCTCAATTAAATGAGATATGCCTGTAGCTAACTGGAGTCTTTGAGAAGCAGTCTTACATTGTGTAATATATGCTTTTTTTCTTTATTGATTTTAGAGAGGAAGGGAGAGAGAGAGATAGAAACATTGATGAGAGAGAACATCAATTGGCCACCTCCTGCATGCCCCCCACTGGGGATCGGGCCCACAACCTGGGCATGTGCCCTGATCAGGAATCGAGCTGGTACCCTCTTGGTGCATGGGTCGATGCTCAACCTCTGAGCCACACTGGCGGGCTTGCATATATGCTTTTTAATTTAAAATTTTCTTATGCCTTTTCTTTGGTTTTCCCAGACTTGATCTCTTCCACTCTTAAAAACTAGGGTTTTGTACTAAAACTTTAAAGAGGAATACTTTCATAAACAATTCTGAGTTGCCTCTCAATTAGTTACAGGAGTCTACCTTAAAGACTAGTGGAAAAATGAGCATAGTTCTTGTTCTGAAGTAAATATATTTCAGGCTGTTAACATGCTTCTTTGAGATCCTGAATATGCCTTGCAAGTAATAATTAAGCTTCATGCTGCTGCTTAGGAAAAATGAAATTGGGGTATGGAGGCAAGGAAAAGATTGGAGCAAAAGAAACTGGCTTTCTTGATGACTTCAGTTATGTCTATCTAATTTGAAGAAGAAATTGCTCTATTGAAAAGCAGAACACACTCACCCTGGCCAAGTAGCTCGGTTGGTGCATCATCTCGTACACCAAAAGGTTGTGGGTTCAATTCCCAGTCGGGGCAAGTATATGGCCCAGTTGATCAATGTTTCTCTCTCCCTCTCTAAAATCAGTGAACGTATCCTTGGGCGAGGATATTTTTGAAAAGCAGAACACACTGTTTTGGTATCGTACTTAAACTTAAAGGGTATTGATTCCCATCTTACTGATGTAAATGAAAACAGGATCTTTTCTCTTAAAAATATACATATTTACAAAATGACTGGTTGGTATTTATGAACTGAATTCTTTTTGTGCTAAAATTATGACAATTTTTGTTTTGTTTTGTAAAGCTATCCTAAAAGGAAAACTTAGAAAATAAAAGTTACCTTTTATGTCTACATCTATAAGAATTTAGAGCTAAGATGATATTAACGTAACAATATCTTAAAAACTCCACAAAGCATAAGAATGAACTGCTCTTTCTGTTTGAGTTTATCCTTTCCACTCTTGAAAATCAGGAAAAAGCAGAATGAAAGAGTGTAAACTTTTTTAATCAGAAATATTCTTGTTTTCAGACCAGAAGGGACACCCTTTGAAGATGGTAAGTAATTTTTCTTGTTTTCTATAGTATTAAAAGGCTTTTATTAAAGTAGGAAATTATAACACGAATGTATCTGCTTAAAACTATTTTCTGTTGTTAATAGGTCAGATTAAAACTACTGCTATTTAGAATTTATAGTTTACAAAACTTTATTCTCCCATCAGCTTGATCACATTTGTTGCCAGTTACTCTGTTAAATATTTGGCTATAGAACCTAAGCCTAGATGAGTAGGGTCTATGTTGAGACTAGTTTAGATTTCAGTGGCCTTTGTAGCATGCTAACGATGTTCCTGAGGTAAATACCAGGAGGCTAATGATGTTTTTAACTTTGTTATCTATATTAATAGGATATTGAGCTGAAATTATTTTTAAACATAACGTAGATGCCAGTAGTTTCATATACAGCTGGCATTCGACACCCATAAATAGCATTCTGCACAATCGTTTATATCTTAAATTCAATATTTTTACCAAGAGCCAGGGAAATGGAAAACTAGTTTTAATATGTATTTATAATTGAGCTTCTCAAATTGATTTTAACCAAGCACTTAGATTTTTCCCTAATTATAGCATGGTTTTGTTTTGTTTTTTATTGGTTAAACAGGTTAGTTTTAATTATCAAAATCACTTCAGCATTAATGGCAGCAAGGATATTTGTTCAAAACTATTGATTGCAGCACCATTTTTAAGGAGATAGCCTGAATGCCCAATAGAGGGGAAGTGGTTAGCAAATTATGATATAGCTAGACTCTGGACTATTATATACCAGTTAAGGAATAAGGTAGATCTGGACAAATGAGAATGTTACAGAAATAAAGTATGTTGTGGTCTCACATTTTTACTAAGTACATACATGCCAGTGTGTGTGTATGTTAAAGGGTTATGGACCACACTGTTATCAGTGGTTAACTCTAGGTTGGGATTAGAAATTAAATAGAGGTACTTTCGGACTTAAGCTTTTTACTCTACACCAAGGAATTCTCAAGAGTGGTCCATAAACCCCTTAAAGTCTCTCAGACCCTTTCAGGGGTTCCATGTGATCAAAACTGTCTTCATACCAATACTAAGACATTATTTGCCTTTTTCACTGTATTGACATTTGCACTGATTGTACAAAAGCATTAGTGACTAAAACAGTATAGCATCTTGGCACAGATCAAGACTGCAGCACCAAACTACTAATAGTCATTGTATTTTTTGCATTTTTTTCTTTCATTTATCTACTTTTTTTCAATTTTTATTTATTTTTGTTACAGATGTTTTTCCTTTTTTCCCCGTAGACACCCTCCTCCCCACACCCACTCCCCTATTTTTTGCATTTAATTAATGAATTAATTTTTTTCTTTATTGATTCTACAGAGAGAGGAAGGGAGAGGGAGAGAGAGGTGGAAACATCGATGAGAGAGAACATTGACTAGCCACCTCCTGCATGTGCCCTGACTGGGAATCAAACTGGTGACCTCTTAGTGCATGGATTGATGCTCAGCCACTGAGTCACACCGGCTGTCTTTTTTTTTTTTTTTTGTCTACGCCCCTAGCGGGAACCGAACCCAGGACTCTCCGGTCCGCAGGCCAATGCTCCAACCACTGAGCCAAACTGGCCAGGGCTATTTTTTGCATTTTAAAAGATACCAGTTTCACTTTAAAATATCTTGATGAAAAAGTGGACATCATTATTATTAAATTCTGACCCTTGATTATACCTCTTTTTACTATTCTGTGTGATGAAGTAGGAAGTATGCATATAGCACTTCTCTCGTATACCAAAGTATGATGATTGTCTGGAGGAAAAGCACTTCTGCAATTGTTTTAGTTTAACTTGAACTACTGCTCTTTTCATGAAAGAATGACTGAAAGACAAACTGATTATTTAGGTTTGAGTATTTGGCAGACATTTTCTCAAAAGTGACCTAAGTGAGCTCTTAGGTCAAGGAGAGCAGCTGACAATATTTGTTGCTGCTAATAAAACGACAGTGTCCCAATACTTTTAAGATTTCTCTGATGAGATCAGTAGGTGGTATTTACCTGTTGGGATTTTTTTTTTGGTGGTATATAATGGAATATGGTGATGTTTAAAAGATTTGTGTAAAACTGAACCAATATTTTCCAAATGTAAGTGATGCAAAGGTTTGTTTATATGGTTTCAGATTCTACTAACCTTTAAAAACCTATAATTTCTTTGGTGTAATAATATAAAAAATATGTACAGTTATCTGAAAAGGCTATGAAAATACTCCTTTTTTCATTTACATAATTGCGTGATGCCTGATTTTCTTCATGTTCCTCAACCAAAACAGCATATTGCAACAGATTGAATACAGACGTAGCTAAGAGAATCCAGCTGTCTTCTGTTAAGGCAGTCATTAAAGAGATTTGCAAAAATGGAAAACAGTGCTTCACTTCTCACTAACTTGGGGAGAAGATAGTTGTTGGTTTATTTTTTCATTTAATGTTACTTAGGTAAAAAGTTATAATGAGCTTATAGTTATATATATTAAGATTTTCTGAGTTATAGTTTCTAATACAACACTTATCGTTAGTTATAGCCAGTGGTGTGCTGGAGGCAGCTTGTACCAATTTGTGAGAACAGCTTGTTAAAAGTTTTGGGAATTTTTGCAAGCTGATTATTAGGAGCCAATATTTTAAAATGAAAATATTTTTGATATTTGGTGGAGATACCATAAAATGGTATGCTATTGTGCATACATCTCTTTTCAACTTGGAAGCTTGGTGGTGGTTGGGAGTGAAAGTGTAAAAGGTGTCCTGAGACCCCCATAATATGGAAAAAACAGTGTTTGCCTGAAATCTTTTTTTTTTTTTTTTTATCCTCACCCGAGGACATTTTTCCATTTTTTGTTCAGATAGAGCGGGAGGGAGAGAGAGGAAGAGAGAGAGAGAGAAACATCGATGTGAAGGGACACATCGAGTGGCTGCCACCCGCACGACCAACCAGGGCCGGGGACAAACTGCAACCGAGGTACGTGCCCGTAGCGGGAACCGAACCTGGGTCTCTCTGTACCGCAGGCTGACGCTCCAACCGCTGAGCCAAACCGGCCAGGGCTGCCTGAAATCTTTACGTGCTACATTTTTGTAGTTAAAATGTAAGCTTTAAAAATATATAATTAGGTATAAAGCCATGTTCACTAATTAACTATACATTTCATAATACCTCTGTTAATACACAAAATAGGACATAGATAATCACCATTGATTTTGCTCATACTTTAGCCTCCCTAATCCCAAATTTATGACTAGTGAAGAAGATAAAATATTTTATTAATTTACATGCCTCTAATCTTGATAGACTGAAACCAGGAGCTTAGACTTGAGGTTGATTAAGGGTTTTTGTTTAGATTATTCTTAAAATTTTATTTTTTAGTTATAGTTGGCATATATTTTTTTTTTCTTCTTCTTTTTTTTAAAGGCGTTGGTGACATAAATTTGTAGAGACACCTGGAATGGTTTAAACTTTTTTTGACTTAATTAGGAAAAAGTATTCCAGGGGGTTATCATTAGAGGGAGGACCTCTGAAACCAACTCACCTTTGAGGTGAGTTTCCTCAAAACAAAAGGACCCAGAGGATAGTGAATAAAAACAAAAGAAGTCTAGAAAGACAAACACAAAACCACTAATAGTGTTATTTCTGTGAAGTGAATTTTGAATTGGAGTTGAGTACTTAACTTTTTTGTTCACTATAAACGGATTTACTTGGCTTCAAATGCATACTTTTTAAAAATGCCTATGTTTCTATTGACCAGAAAGTACTGATCCAGGCTGACCAAAATGTACCATTTTGGTCTATAACCAACAGTAGTAGGCAGTTATGCTTACTGATTCTTGGCATATTTAAATGAATGGATTGCTATGGGACAGAACAGACTTTTCACATTAGCCCCCAAGTCTTAGATCTGAGTTCTTTGTCATGTGGTAGTTACCCCCTCTCAAAATCCTGTGGGCACCTACCCCCTTCTAAGCTATAATAAACTATCTGTATTTCTCCATTTTAAGTTTTAGTAGCTAGGACCAAATTGCCTTTTAAAAATGTGGCAGTTATCATTGCTACCAAATAGCATGTGAACTTAGTTCCCTAAGTGCTTTCCGATGCTGTATGTTACCAGTCTGACATAAATAGAAGTATATTAGTATTGCTTATGTGCTAAACCAAAATTTACATTAATTTTTATGTTGTGCAAAAATCAGTATGGGTTGAGAATTCATTGGTGAAGAAATTTAAAAGTTATGCTTGTCTTTACTATAATTATTTCGGTTTGTTTTCTATCTAGGTACTTTTAAACTAGTGATAGAATTTTCTGAAGAATATCCAAATAAACCGCCAACTGTTAGGTTTTTATCCAAAATGTTTCATCCAAATGGTAAGTAGCAATTTTATTAGACTTTGCAAATGATAGGGGGAAGGGAAAAAAACTTGTTTCCTTCCTTTTCGGTATTGCCCCAAACTTCTCACCCTCAGTGCCCACTTATAAATGTTGCTTCCATGTCAGTATTGGCCACATTTCTGTACTCTGGAATCTTACCAAGTTTCCAAATTTGATATAAATTTGTTTTGTTTTAATAACTCCTGATTTTTAAAAGTATTACCTGTTTGTAGAAATGCAAAAGATACTGAAAAGAATTTGTCACTTAAAATGTAACTTTTAAAAAATAAAAATAAATGCTTGTACAAAATTGGTATGTTCTGTGTAAAGTTAATTATTTATATACTATGAACATTTTTTTCTTATTAAATACTCTCACATCATCACTTCTAGTGGCTACAAAATGTTCTGTTACAGGTTTACCATAATTTATGTAATCAGTGTCCGGTTGTTGATTTTTAGCTATTTTAATATTCTTGAAAATAAATCTCAAATACTCCTGAGTATTTCTTTAGCGTAAGTTTTTAAAAGTGGCATTACTGGGTCAAAGGTTTATGTGTTTTTAAGGCTTTTTAAAATACAGTTTTACATTTTTTTCTTGTTCTAATTTTTACTTTTAGAAGTATATTTTATTACTGTTTTTCATGAATGATTGCTGAGTGATCCTTTTGTAGTTAAATTTGCTCTTCCCTGACTTTTTGCTATTTACATTTAATATATTTATATTTTTGGATTATAAATTACTGAAAGACTTATTTTTCAAAAACATTTAAGCTTTCTTTCCTTTTTGTAACCTTTTGCTCATTTAAATGTGGTCTTCCCCATCCATTAACCTATTTACAGAAGTCCTTCTGGTTTTGAATGTCTTTCTACATTAGTTAATATATATGTCATTTCTGGTGGCTATAATGGTATTGTTTATATAAATGTAGCATTTAGCCAGTCTTTTCTTTATGGGCCACAAAGTGGTTTCTAAGTTTTCACTTATACATAGTGTTACAGTGAATAATCTGTAAATGAAACTTTGCATGTCCATGATTATTTCTTTTTGTTTTTTAATTTTTAATTCTTTTTATTTTTTTAGAGAGAGAGGAAGGGAGAGACGGAAACATCAGTTGGCTGCCTCCTGCACGCCCCCTACTTGGGATGGAGCCACAACCCAGACATATGCCCTGACTGGGAATCAAACCAGGACATCTCAGTCCCTGGGATGACAACGCTCTATCCACTGAGCCATGCCAGCTGGGCACCATGATTATTTCTTTTAGGAGTCATTTCTGGGAGTGGAATTGCTGTGTTAAAAAATAAACTTTTTTCCCCCCCAAGAGCTTTATTTAAGAATGTGTGGAAATAGGGCCCTGGCCTGTTTGGCTCAGCGTTAGAGCTTTGGCCCGCGGACCAGAGAGGCTCAGGTTCGATTCCCACTAAGGGCACGTACCTTGGTTGCAGTTTGTCCCCAGACCTGGTTGGGGTTGTGTGGGTGTTGACCACTCAGTGTGTGTCTTCTCACGTTGATGTTTCTCTCTCTTTCTCTCTTCCTCCCTTTCTCCCTCCTGCTCTATCTGAAAATCAAAATGTAAAAATGTCCTCGGGTGAGGATTAAGAAAAAAAGAATATGTGGAAATAGGGAATTTAAACAGATTTACTATATGGTGTGTTGAAAAGTTTAACTCTCACTCAGCCTCCTGATGAAAGGGTACAAAATAAGAGACCTTAGTTTTAAGACTGGTTTTCCTATGTGACAGAAGGGGTTTAATTATTGCCTAATGCTCAGAACTTCTGTCTGGGCCAAGCATTCTGTCTGTGGTAAAGATTTCTCTTAACTGTTAGATATGACAAAGTTAATATGTAACCAGTTTTAGTGTTGTCTTTGCAGTGTATGCTGATGGTAGCATATGTTTAGATATCCTTCAGAATCGATGGAGTCCAACATATGATGTGTCTTCTATTTTAACATCAATTCAGGTAAGTGTGTATGTATTATGATGCATCATAATTTTTCAAGGCTCTGTGGGATCCAGTCAGCTCCTTTAGGAGTAATCTAAAGACTAATGAGCAAAGTAAGCTTTTCAGTACCCAGATAACCAGTGGCAAAACTCATACAAAAACCCTTGCTTTTCAGACGATTGATCTGCTTTTTCATTAGTGACCACCTTAGATCAAATCCACAATTATTTTCCTGTTCATGTGTAACTTAATGTTCTCACAGGTCAAGTATTATTTGTGCCCATGAAGTATAGCCAGATGTTGTGGGGAAGAATGAAAAATCTTAGGGAAAGATAAAGATGATTGCTTAGAAAAACAATAGGGACCTCAAAAAACAGCCAAGTGCAGAGAAGCATTGAGAATGTTGCCCTATCCAAGAAATTCTATATCAAAAAAAGAAAGAAGTGTAACTATTTGCCAAAGACTTTGGCAGATTATTTCACAGTCGAACTTGAATGATCATTTTGCTGAGGGATGGAGTGAGGTATGTTTTAGCTATGTGTATTTGAGAGGAACAGAAGTTACATGTTGGTTTGTGACCTTTTTAAAGCTTTTCTGTCACACTTCTGCTTTAAGAGGGGTCATCTTATAAATATTGTTTTTAACCTTCCTATTTCATTCCTTGGCTGCTAGATGTATATTTTTTATTGATTAAAGGAAACAAGACGGATTATCCACCTTACTGTCAGACGTTTGTCAACTAACTACAATATAGAGCTTAACTTTGGAAAATATTAGTTGCCAAGTTATTTATAGATATTGTATAGTAACTAAATCAAACTGCTTGTTTCCTAGTTTAATGTGTTAGTAGGCAGAAGATGTTCTTCTCCAATTTCTTTTAAATTAGAGGTCTTAAGGCAATTGAGAGTGATTTTAGAAGCTTAAGATCAAGCCATTTCTGAAAAGTATTTAGACCTAAAAATATGCAAGACATAATTTCTGCCATTTTGTATAACGCCTGTGCTGCTTACATAACCCATGTTAATACAGAGAATAACTTTGCAAATCTGTTTTTTCTCTCTTTCCATGTAGTCTCTGCTGGATGAACCGAATCCAAACAGTCCAGCAAATAGCCAGGCAGCACAACTTTATCAGGAAAACAAACGAGAATATGAGAAAAGAGTTTCAGCCATTGTTGAACAAAGCTGGAATGATTCATAATAGACAACTGGTCTGTTAATCTTTTTCATCATTGTTGTGTATAATTTACCTCTCAGTAGAAAGGCTAACAAATTTTAAGTGCCACCAGTTTTAAGGATTCTGCAGAAAAAAAAGTCTTTCAGTTTAGAACCTATAAAAGCTTGTGTATCTTGATTAATGTACTTTTTATTGCATGGTGTGAACTAAGTTATTGCTTACATAAATTTGTAATATATCCTGTTTGTATTTTTTTCCAAGTGTATAATGTTGGTGTGGAGTTTTCATGACAGAATATACACATTTTGTAAATCTGTACTTTTTTCAAATATTGAATGCCTTATTTTTGAATTCTTTAGATTTTTAAATTGGAGAAGAGCACTTAAAGTTTTTTATATATGACTATTACATGTAAAGCTGTTAAAATACATAACTTCAGTGCAAGAGACTTTGTCACTTATTTCCATATCTGTGTAGGAGGGGTTAATAAGTCTCTAGCTCTCCATCAGTTGATAATTTCATTTCCAAATTCAAAAGAACAGATTTATATTTTATCAAGAAAGTCTTCAGATTTGATTCTAATCACCACTTATAATTTCAAACTATTTTGAATGCACTTATATTAGTTTCAGTTGAGCAGGTACAGACATAACTGGTTTGATTCTAACTCAGTACTTAGGCCACTTGTTACTGTTTCTTCATACTCACTGTTAAACTGTGCCTCATGTGATTTCACAATTTGCACCTCTACCATGAGGAATTAGCACCTTTACCTTTAGTGAGCAGAGAGCTAATGCAACTTATTTTGCTGTTTGATATCACTTTAAAAGATTTTTGATAACAAAAGTAAAACCATAAACATTTACTGAAAATCCATGCCACACTGTTAGCAATGAAGAAGAATTAGTTGCATTGGACAAGCAAGGCAGATATTTGGAAGGAATCTTGGTATAATTTATATATTTGAAAACTGCATTTCAATGCAATTACGTATCTATTTATTCTGGAAAAGTGTTTAATACCAGGGCCTGCTGAGTTGCTTTCTTTTGTGGAGATTTTTTTTCTTTCTTGACTCTCCTAAGTTTTGTAAAAGTTGTACTCTATCTTAGTTTACTGGATAAATTTAAAACACAGTATTGTAGAAAGCTAATACAAAGCTATCCTATGCCTTCAAGTAGGGTAGAAAATGGAAAATATACAAGTAAATTCTGTTGAACCACCTGTGTAGTCTTTCTAGTAGTTAAAACAGCTATTTTAATCACATCAAGAGTTTCTTGTCATATTCATACTAGCTTAGTAAGCTCAGAGCTTCTGTATTGGAAGACTAAGATGACAGTATCTACAGCTTCTAGCAAGCAAAGTTTAACACTGGAAGGATAAGCATTAATGGTTTCCTTGAAAAGTTACTAGTTGGTAAATTTTAGGTTAAGTGTATGGTATTGGAAACTTTGATACAAATTAGAGTTCATGCACTGGAATTAATGGGGAAAAGAAAAAAAAAGACGCTTTATTTAAAGGTACTTTTTGGTCATATTACTTATGTGATGCTTTTATAGTCAGCTCTAAAATTATACTTTCTATGAACATTTATTCCAGTGAGTGACTTCTAAATACACAGTAGCAGTGAGAGCCTCCCCTCTTACTTCATTACGTGTTATTTGAATACTGTTTCAAATCTATTTTTATCTTTAACCTGTTTTTTCCTTTCCCTGTTTAAAACTGGAACATTTCAAGTATCAATAGAAAATTATAAAGGAATTACATCTTTCTTTTTGCAAGGTAGTCAACTCTCCTAAATGTAACCCATGCATAAAATTCATACCTAGTCCACATTCCCATTGGAGAAAATTCTTAGGAATGTTCTCTGAATTACTCCTCATAGTTTTTTCCTTCATCTTTAGAACAGATTCCTTTTTTAAAAAATCCAAGATGTATTTATTGGGATGGTTCCCACTCAATTTGGGGTGCTTTTAGTGCTGCTTCCTTCTAAAGGAGCATTCTTCTGAAAGCCTTGCTTTTCCTCTTGTAGACTGGCAGAGGACAGTGGAGCAGCCAGCACACAAAACTACCGTTTGTGCAGGACTAAAGATGGTGGTGATTTTATAGCATTTCAGATCCATGAAGTAGGAACTGGGCACTGCACCAGCTGCTTCTTGTGTTTCTTCTCTTCTGGAGAGGGATGAAGGGGAAATTCTTAGCAAGAGGCACGTTGTTGTGGGGAAGTCATCACTGCCAGAAAGGCCAGAGTCCTGTTTTTTTTTGGTTGAGTATCAGATGTAAACTTTCAGTTTACAGGATTATGTCATATAAAAAAGGTTTACTTTTAAACTCGACACAAATTTTATAAATGGTATGGCAAGAAGCTAGACCTGACTTATTTAGGTGTAAAGGTGGATTCACGTTAAAGTTTAAATGCATTTGTGATGCAGTTCCTCTGTATCAATACTTGTAACACTGTGCAAGTCACTATTCTTGAGTACTTTGACATATTATTGCATATCAAACTCAGTAATCCTTTGAGGTGTAGGCATCAGAGATGAGCAAACTAAGTACGAAGAGATTGACTAGCTCAAAGTCAACCAGCTAGTAAGTGATAGAGCTGGGATTTGAACCCAGGCAATCTGGTCTTTCAGCCAGTAACTATACTATCCCTTAAGAGATATTAAGGGATTGAGTTTAGTTTTAAAAATTTCACTGAACTTAAATATTCATCCCAATTTATAAAAATACTTTTATTGATTTATAGTTATATACAGACTAGTATCTATCCAAAGAAAAGGTTTTCTTGACCACCATTGTCCACCTCTTTTTTTCTAGTATAAAGTCTGGATATAGGAACACCTTCAGGTCTCTGCTATAAAGGACTATGACTTAGCAATAGACCAAAAAGTTTCCCCTCCCTAGAAATATCCTTGAGTCTTCACACCCCACACCCACCAAAAAATAATTTCTGTGAATATGATTAACTTCCAGAACTGATCTAAAAATTCTTATATAGGTTGAGGGGAGTGGGGGCCTGTTAAAGGTGCCTTATTTAGTAATCTTTTGTGCTCAGTAAGTAAGGTTAGTTGTCTACTTAGTTTTTCATTTAGCACTTTTAAGAGAGAACCCTGGGGCTCGTAGCACAATTTAGTTATGTCTAAGGTAAGGTATTTTGATCTCTCAATTCTCCCAAGTTTTAAGAGCAGAGACCAAATTTTTAGGTCTTGGTGGTGGTTATTACAATTTCTGCTGCATTCAGCAACACAGAGTTCCAAAGGAATCTGTTGTGTGAGGATTATGTATGTTAATAGAAAAGTCATTGGTTGGAAAGCTATTAAAAGTAAATGAAGCCCTGGCTGGTCTTGCTCAGTGGTTAGAGCATCAGCCTGTGGACTGAAGGGTCTCAGGTTCAGTTCTGGTTAAGGCACATAACCTGGGCTGCAGGTGTGATCCCTGACCCTGGTCTGGGTCATGTAGGAGGCAACCAATCAGTGTGTTTCTCTCCCTCCCTCTCTTCCACTCTGTCTAAAATCAATGAAAAAGTATCCTTCGGATAAGAATTAACAACAAATATAAATAAATGAAATTGTGTGTAGGACAGGGACCTTGTACCAAGATGTACACTCATCAGTTCCCATCTAGTTAGGAAAAACAGCTATTATCAGATAAGGGGAAAGATTAGTTATCTTAAGTTATTTTAGTATAAAACATAGAAGCAAAATCTTGTTGAGTTGACTTTTTTCCTTGTATTTCAAAAAGAATACAGAAGTATGTGCCATTCTTTCAGTAATTTCTCCCCATCAATCACTATAGCTTTTTAAAGCAATTGTGTTAGTAATGTCTCGAGGTTTTGAAGTTTCCTGTTCATAGCATAGGCTAGGGCTTTTATTTAGTTGGGCCAAAAAGATAAGTGAGGTGTGCCCTTTACAAACCTTATTGGGTACATCACTGTCAACAACATTAGCTCCTTGCTGGTTGAAATCAAGAACCCTGGAAAGAAGGGTTCCAAGCTTCCTCTTTGGCATATGAAGGATTCGGACTTGGGTGAGATCCCCCTCCACAGACTGATTTCAGGAACTCTGTCACTGACTGCATGCTAAAGCTTGGCCACATGATGTTCTTGTTTGTGACTTCTGGAATCTCATGTTTGGGAAGACTGTAGTATATAGCTAATGTATTCTGCTAGAGGAAGCAAATAACCTTTTACCTGGTATAGAGGTCTTTACATGGTGATGGTCTTAGTTACAAGTGTGATGCTTCTGTAGTCTTTGGAGGAGATTAGCTGAACTCAAGTCTTACCTGGAAGGCTAGGATCCTTAAAGTGACACTGAGTTGGGAACTGGTATAGAGAGGACCAGAGCTTATCTATATGAAAGGATTTCCTCAGGCTCCATCAACCTGAACCATTTAGTTGTCATTCTTCATAGAATGCAGGGGGAGTGTGGTATCTCTAAGACTGCCAAAATGCAAACCTATGTCCACTTAAGGTAGATCTCTTAATAGTGCTTCCTGTCTGAAGCCCGAGGGATACAGTTGCCCTGTTCCCTTACCCTTTTCCAAACAAAGCCTTTTGTCAAGAATACCATATCCCACCAGCTTAATTGGACTAGCAAGATAATGTCACCTGCAAAGTGGCTTGCTGCTCTTTTAGCTGTTTTTTGTGTGTCTTTTTACAAAAGTGATTTGGGAGGTGGTGGTGGTGGTGGTGGTTAATCCTCAACCAAGGGCTCTTCCATTGACTGATTGATAGAGAAGAAGGGAGGGAGGGAGAGAGAGAGAGAGAGAGAGAGAGAGAGAGAGAGAAACAAACATACATCAATGTGAGAGAGGCACATTGATTGGTTGCCTCCTGCACCACCTTGACTGGGGTCAGGGATCTCATCTGCAACCCAGGTATGTGCGTTTGACCGAAATCAAACCTGTGACTTTCATTCCTGGGCCGACACTCTAACCAGCCAGGGCTGATTGGGGGATTTATTTATTTATTATTATTATTTATTTATTTATTTTTTATTTATCCTCACCCGAGGACATTTTTCCATTTTTTTTTGTTGTTGTTGTTCAGATAGAGGGGCAGAGAGAGAGAGAGAGAGAGAAACATCGACGTGAAAGGGACACATCGAGTGGTTGCCACCCACACGACCCAGCCAGGGTCAGGGACAAACTGCAACCGAGGTATGTGCCCTTAGCAGGAACCAAACCTGGGTCTCTGGACTGCAGGCTGACACTCCAACCGCTGAGCCAAACCGGGGGGATTTAAAGTTTTTGTGTTGGTGCTAGTACAAAGACAAGAAACTGGAAGCTGCTTGGCATGATAAACCATCCTGGGCAGACAATAAAAAAGAAGTGAAGCCCATTTCATCAGCTTCAGCTAAAGGTAGGAAAGCTAGATTAGTAACCTTTGTTGTGTTATAGTGGGCTTCTGGTTATAGGCATGGGCACAGAAGGCTTTGGTTTCAGGTGGAGACACCCTGGAACATCATCTGGAAGAGACTGTTAATCCCAGGGGGTGGGTACAGGGATCTTTTTCAAGCCAGAAAGATCAGCAAAGGCAGTACTGGGGCCTGGTGGTGGTAAGGTTGATGAACCCATCTGTTCAGGCAGAAAGTTCTCCCTGGCTTTTGTTAGCCATTGCGTGTTGTTGGTT